CAAGAAATAATCAGATGTACTTCTCTATGTACTCATAATCTCACTGACTTGAAGATGCAGCATCTGGCTGAGGAACAGGCGTATTTTTAGGTATTCGTTGTTGACTGTGGCCTGGGAGTCACACAGAGCTCCTATATCATTGCACTAAACTGACATCTGCAGGTTTAATGGATCGCTTTCACTGGTGACAAATTGCTGTATTGTTGCTCTTATCCTTTGTAACCATCTGTGCCTGTGCTGCCAATTATGCATCTGAGCTACATGTGCTCCAAACAGAAATGACAAAGAGAGAAGGATGTGGCAGAAAGGAAGATGAGCACTCTGCCCATTATCTTCTCTGACATAATGTGTGTTGCAGTCTTTGTGCAGACAGCAGTGTTCAGCCCAAATTACAGTGACTTGCGTTTAAATAAATCCACCCGCCACTGGTTTGTTAAAGCCACGATCTGACATCTTATGTAACCTCAAATGAAGAGCAGACCTTGCTACCTGGCACCCTGTATCAGGTGCACCGTGAGCCGACGCTCCCCTCCGATCATCGGGCGACCCTGAAATGAGATATACAGTAGCATTGTTGGGGTGCAGGTAGGGCAGCGCTGAGGTTTTCTATCAGATAACCAACCGCAATTGTGTGCACTGGACTTTCCAAGAGCTTTGGTTGCCTTCGTGAAATGGCAGCTTAAAAGGTTGCCCCGTTAAGGTCACTGCCTGGACCTGATTAGCTTCTTTCTGTGATCTTGATCCTTTGTTCTCCGTGGTACTCTTGATGCAGCAAGTAGATGCCATTGTTCAGTGACTCTGATGTTATGCCATTGTGCAGTGTCCAGATAAGGGTAATAGGATATCATTCAATTTATGCAGAACACACTAGCCCTTGACTATAGAGAGACTTGGCCATACAGTATTCATGTGTAGTATTTTAGAACTTCATCGCAAAATACATTTTCCAAAATGTACTTAAATTGACATAAAAAAGAACGATGTTTCCTCTGTCAAACTAATGCACAGCATGTCAACAATGGTCCATTCTAATCTTGCCTACACATACATGGTCAACACTACAGAGTGGATAATAGAACATGTGGTCTGGTGACCTTTGGGTCTAGAGCAATAAAATCTGGACACAGGCCAGGCTGTAAAATGTGACGTCAGTGTGGACAGATGAGTGGATGTGTCGTGTCCCTCTCACTGCTGTTCAAGTTCCCTTCTGTGTGCCTTTGTTTAGACTGGACATTTACATCTCCATCTGCCCCCCCACCCCCCCACCCAGTGGCTAACTACTAAAACTAAAACTGTCCTTAATTATAGCTGCTGCCTTCGAATGTGTAAATTACACACAGATAAAGTTTCACTTTCCCCAAGAGAAAAGCTTGTGTTAGGGAACACTTTGAAAAAAACACACATTATGGAGCTTTTAATCGGACCGTGAGTTAGCACCACATGAGTGATGGCTCGCACGTTGCGAGTCGTTTATATGATGGAGATTTTCAGCTGTTTCCTTGTCATTTATTAGCGATCCAGGTCACTTTGTAGGTGTAATGAAAGCAGTGCCTGTAAAAGAGGCTGATGCCTACAGAACCTCTGACTTATGTTGCCTGTCTTGGCAGCCTTTACCACTTGGCACGAAGGAGTGATGCCAGTCAGGGACAACCAACCAGAGCAGGCTGGCTTGAGAAACATCCAGGCTTTGAATTATGGATCGGCGGTGAGAGTTGCCAGTGCCACAATCAGCAGGATGGCCAACCGAGTCAGGCCTGCTGCTTTAACAAGCTCAACAGCAGGGTCAGTTGATTAGAAAACCCATCACCCAGAACAGTGAGTGGACAAGTGTGCTCCACTGTTCCCTTTTGTCTATTATGGCATTTAGAAACTCCATCATGCTAATGGTCTTCATGTCGCAGCATTAGAAAGCTGTTGTTATGACTTTGCCTGTGAGTTATGAGACCATTATTATTTCACAAGCCACAGTGTGTAAATTCACATTGCTTCCATTTGCTGTCTTTGCCCGGGGTCAAGTTTAATTCAGTCTAGCCTTGAATTCAAATGAAAAATGTTATTGGTAATAATTATATGAATGGGGAAAGTCATAATTAAAACTGCTTTAAAATGAGATGTATGAAGGCTGTCAAGGAGGAAATCGATTTTCTTTAAGCTTCTTGCTACTGCTGGGTTCTTCTGGCTGCAGGTCAAAGCAAACATCTTTATCAGCGTAAACACCAGTAACTGATTAGGACCTGTGTGAACGGCCTCTAGCTGAGAGCGCCTGTCTTTTATATATTATATGTTATGGATGTGTGGGAAAGTGGAACGATTCATTTGTTTGTTGGATCTTTAAATGGTCACAGTCAGTAACTACTCTCCTCAGACCCTGGTCTCTGGAAGAAAGGTAGAATTAAAGCTGAGAGGAACTGCACAGTTCACTTGTAAAGATTGTACTTTGTAACAAAGGAAAAACCTATGTTTCCACATCAGAGGGTATGGATGTTACAGCATGTTCCCTGTTTCATTCATTAGCAGCAGCTCCACAGCCACGTGGCTATTTCTGTTAATCTTATCATGTGCTTTGTGTTTGCTGTATTGTGCCCTGGTTGTTTGGAGAACTGTTGCTGTGCAGCCGTGGCTCCGTGGCTCACCAACGGCAAATGGGAGGATGGATTGATGGGCGAGAGCCAGATTCTGCAGACTCAACACAGGTTAATCAGCTGACATCAAGTTGATCCCGTTGACAGTGCTGTGATCTGGCGGTTTTTCCCCCCGTGTTTACAGGAGTCAACTGTGACTTCCATGTAACCTATGACAACACACTGAAATAGAATCGAAACATAACATAACGCAACTTAACTTGAGCCCTTATTTATGTGTTCTAATTTTTGAAACATGCTGTAGGACAATTAAGAAAGTACCTACAACACACTCTAATTCATTAAAAGACAGCACTGGGCCAACACCTTAGTGTATGTTAGTTCCAGGGAAGGTTAGCTCCCGTCCCTTAATGTTATCAGAGTCTAAAGCACACAGAGTGTACTGTCATTAGAATCGCACCTTACTTTCTAATCAGGAGACTTAAGAAAATGAATGTTATAGAAGGAGCCTGAGCAGCAGCTGCTGTGTGTAGCCGTCCTTGGGTGGAGCTGCTGTAACTGAAGTAACACAGGTGACAGATGGGCCTAGAAGTGTTATCAACACCCACCACCCTTAATGATTTCACCAGGAGCTTGCACGGGCACAAAACTGTGCATGGATGCGTGCACTATTTGATACCCTTTATATGTGCAATTATTCAAGAGCATTGTTTCATGATCATTAACTTTTCAAGGAACACATTCACACAGCAACAGGTCAACATTAAGGTGGCTGCATTTGAAAGGGCATTGTGTGCTGTTAGAGTATAGTTATCAGATAAAAGCCCTTTCATTCCCACAAAATTGGTACTTCATGCGTCCTTGCAGCACAATGGCCTACAGAATATATAAAAAACCACCATTTTTCTCTATGTGGAAAACAAAGAAGTCTGTACTACTACTGATTGTAGTTCAGTGGGTGAATCATCAGTTCTGGTTAGGGGTAAAAAGGGGCTTCAAGTTTAAGTCAACGGTAATCCAAACTTTCTTCAACTATAAACTATTGAGATAATACTAATTTTGTAACAAACATAATAACTTTAATTGATCTCACTATAGGAATCATTTCTCAGTTTTCTATTTCAGTCACCAACTATTTCTAGTATTTAAGTGTCTCATCAAACGAATAGTATAATGTTCTCTTGACCTCTAATACGAAGAGATGTTCTCCCTCGATCACCGTATCCTTCATGTGAAATGCGATCAGAACTAGTACGTCATTGCAGCACAGCAACGTGCAAAGAAAAGTCAGAGGAGAAGCGGCAGGGACAGAGAGGAAAAAAAGGGATTGGCAAGAAAGAGTATGATGATCACCTGCCTCACGGCGCTCTCAAAGACAGGAGAGATCTGACAATCAAGCAGTGATGCTGCTTTCCTATTCCTCCTTGGTTCCTTTTCCTTCTTCCTCGTCTGTTCTCCACCTCTTTCCTCTAATCTCTGCCGTACCCCTTGAAACTGATTGCAGCTCTCGCCAGCCGCTCCGGCTCCTTGTCTTCAGTTGCTGTTGTCAATTTATTAAAAGTAAAATCTCTCCTCTTGAATTTCAATTGAGCGGCTTCAAAGTGAGCGGCTCAGTGGCTGAGCTGGTCATCAAAAAAGCTGTCTGCTCCAGGGTTAGGGGCCACAGAGGACTCTCCATGTCCACTGGTGAAAAGAGTGGATCAGCAGGAGAGCAGCATCATGATCGTCTCGACAGTAAACCCTGGGGGTCCATCTAATGACACGTTTGACAATTTAACAGCAGGAGATCACATTATGTCTTTCATAGGGAACGTCCATTTGAACGAGCTGTGACTGGAGGATTGTACCGTGTTTGTCGTAGGGCTGTCACATGGCACAAAATGAAAACATGAAACATCAAAGATAACCTGGTTCTGCACAGCCATCAGGATGACTTTGAAATGCCTGTGGTGGCTTATTAGGTTGTGTAAGCAGAGTATGGCAGATGGCTTGGGTGACTTTCTATTTGCATACGTGCAGCCACACACTCAACATGTCTCTTCACTCTCTGAGAGTTCTTAATCAGGAGGAAGAACCGCTGGTTCCTGCTTCCAGTTACTTTTAATATTCTATTTCATTTGTTTCAGTGTGATCACATATTAATGTGTGAATCATTTGGAGCCCCGTTGAGGAGGAAATGCAGTGAGAGAAATGAACTATAGAATCATTCAAAGCTCATTACTGCACAGATGTATGGGCCACATGAAATGTAACGAAGCTAGCTTTCTCTTCACTGGAGGGATGTACAGTATGTGTACTTTATTTAAACAGATTTCTCTAAAGGTAATGCTAAATATAACCAATATGCTGCTATGACCAAAATATCAGTTTGCAATTGTATCTCCAGCTAATACTCCTCACTTTCACTGACTTCTTAAGATGGTGGTTCTGATGGACCCGATGGAGGACCCGGATGACATCCTGCGTGCCAACCGCTCCAGAGAGAAAACATACGTGTTCGACGTGGCTTTTGACTATTTGGCCAATCAAGTAAGCCTAAACTAAAAAAAAAAACACCAAACTAGTGTACAACAATATCTGCTCTGCTAAAATGAAGACAAACATCTCTTTGACTCCCCTGCAGGAGGAGGTGTACAGAGCTACAACCAAAGGGCTCATTGAAGGCCTCATATCAGGCTACAATGCAACTGTGTTTGCCTATGGCCCCACAGGTTTGTATCCACGTATATTTGACTCCTCTTCTGTAGATGTGAGGTGTGTGTCACCCACCAGTCACACACGTCACTGCTCTGATCAGCCTCAGTCTGAGTCAGCTCACTCAGTCACACAGCAGGCGTGACATGTTTCAGTCTCATCTATTTTGGGTTCTGGTTTTAGTGCAGGTCTAATCAGACTGAATGACTCAGGTTTTTTTACTTATCAGGTTAGCATATAGGTTTTATTCTAGTGTTTCAGAAAAGCTGGATGTCATCTGACAGTAACTGTCTCTGCCTTTTTGTTTGTTGATTAAAATAATTATGGAATACTTTGTGGCAAACTAGGTAGAAAAGCCATTTATTCCAGCTACGATTAAGTATATTCACATTGATTTAGTTCCTTAGAGTGACAATACATTTATGGTTGTCCTATTTGTTTATGTGTTTTTGTTTTTTATCAAAGCTGCCTAAAAAAGGAAAAATGGTCAAGAAAATCATGAGCCTAAGAATTTAGTTAAAATATTCACACAAACTATTATTTAAAACAGAGGTCCTAAACAAAGTATTGAGTCTTGCCCCAAAAACAGTAAAAGCTTTTAGTATCAGTCTTCAAACTTCAATGTATTGGCACAAGTATTTGAGTATTCGAATGAAGTATTGGGCCTGATACAGATACTGCTATTGTTGTACTCTGAATTGAGCTTCCACATAAAAGAATGGACAGCAGATGGTAGCAAAAACATAATCCTGTGTTTTTTAAATTACACGTGTATTTCTTTTCTGTAAAGGTTGCGGGAAGACCTACACCATGTTGGGAACAGACAAGGAGCCGGGCATCTACGTCCGCACGTTAAATGACCTGTTCCGTGCCATTGAGGAGACCAGTGACGACATGCAGTACAGCGTCTCCATGTCATATTTGGAGGTCTGAACTTCACTCTTTGAAAATCTGTCTCCATGGACTCTTTCATCCAAATCATGCAACAGATAGGCCACTTAATGCTGCTGCAATGACACATTTCACAGCCTGAGAGGCGATAAGTGAGGCACAAAATGTTCTGGCAATTAACTTGAAAAATAACTCAGTGTGAGGGGTTTTTTCCACTCTTTTCTTAAAACTCGAGCTCCAGATATTCCTGGTCTTTCCACCGTCCTGTATTCCCTCTGCACTGATAAAATCTGTGGTTGTTAGCTAATGCTAATTGTAGGCAGATACCACGGCTATCACTTTACTTTTTCCAGGCGTCTGTGTCACACTTGAAATGAGCTGAGCTGAGTCGACCTATCCACATGGCTTTTAATTTGCCTCGGGTTTCCTTCAAAGGTTTTCTCTCTACTTTGACTTGTCTTTTGTTAGAAGATAATGCACAGTCTCTCTCTTTCTCTGTCGAATCTCACTAAAGCTCTAAAGAAATCCCTTCCACCATTGACTAGAGGAGTTGCCATCTATCTGAATCTGATCTGTTGCAAAAAAAAGTGACTATGAGCCACCAACAATGGGGAACATCTTCTAAAAAACATTTGTACTTATGGCATACAGCGATTTTCTATTTTCTCTCCAATTGTCAGATTTATGTTTTGAAGTCAGTGCAGACGGAAATGAATGATTTTGTCATAAAGGCTTCGCATGGAGCCTTAACTTTCTGTAATAGTTTTTGCTACAAAAACAGATTGCAGAGAAAGTTTTTACCCCATCAAACAGAGAAACTTTGGGTCCATTCTGTTTAGCTCTGTTGCATACATTAATTGTGGGTGTGAAGTGTCGGAGAGTGATGAATCATGGGTAAAACAGCAGGAAGGTGATGGTCTGTTGCTGCTATCAAAGCCTGGTGTATGTAGCATCAGCAAAGATGGACCTCATTTTTTAGACTCAGAGCCAGAATTGTTAGGTGCTTTAATGACCTCCGTGCCCTTTTCGCTCCATCCGT